CCCACACACAAAAGGCCAAATAAAACGGAAAGGCTATTATACATACCATACATATATATATATATATATATATATATATATATATATATAGCGTGCGTGTTTTTTGGGTATGTTGTACTTAAATCTATATCTATATTTAATTTAATTATATAGAATGAGTAAATATTTATTTTGGGTGAAGAAAGCTTCGGTGAATGAGTTTTAAGAATTTACTGAACCAACTAGAGTTGAGTCAAACATTTTTTCAAAAAAAATGGAACTGAACATTTTTATAGAAGTTAACTAATGAAGTGTATAATCTCTAGAACTAAAATTTACATTTGCGTGTAAGTAATCCAAACAAATTAACATTGGTAAAGATGACTTATTTTAACTTATTTTTGCATATTAAGGTGGAATAATAATTAATTAATATAATATGGTTTATGTTTGGATAAATTTTTATGAGAAAAGTTAGTTTGGTACAAACTTATTTGAATAATATATATTAAAGTCAGTTTCAAAATGTTTAAATATGAAAAAAAAAAGCTAAAAATTGAAAGTTAAAAAAAAAAAAATTAAAAGTTCCCAACATACGAAATAGCTCTTCACGATTTGACATGGTCCAATAACATGATGCCAAACGAGCTCATAATATGAGACATACTGTTCATTATTGGTTGTGAAAAATACCACTCACCCTCTTCATTTATTTATATGTTATATTGTTGTTAATAATTTTTCTTTTTTTCATATATATTGGCAGAAAACCTGTTTTTGATATTTGTTACAGTAATTCATATGGCTCATGTGATTATTAGCTAGCTCTGCTCATTTCAGAAACTCCGTAGCCCACTGTCTCAACAATTTTTTTCCCCTAAAACCGTTTCGACAAATTAAAAATATTTGATTTTTTGTATAAATAATTTTTAATCATAATTTACAGAATATAAAATAAATATATAAAAAGATTATCGTCTCAACTTATATAAAATGTGTTTATAAATATTTTAAAAGTGATTCTAATTAGGACTTAAGAGGTATTTGGATGGAAGTCAAACCATGATTTTAAAAGTGTTTTATGGTATACAAAGTAAATATATATAAGTCTACCTTATTTTGCGGAAAAACGCTTTTAAAAGGTATTTTTTCATCTTACCAAACACCCCCTTAATCATTTTCTAAACAAGAGGATGTAGAGCAGCCTGCTACTATTCTGGATCTATCCAGATATGCTAAGTTTATTATTATGTGCAAACACATTCGAGACCACAGAACATATATAATTGGGATAAAGTCATTGAAAACTTTCAAAATGTGGGATGCGATGGCCATATTATTGGCTCAATTAGTGGAATTAGTTTGCACGTACGTCTTGTTCAGTTTAATCAAAATCATTACAAATCAAATCATCAATTTATTTTTTTCCCCTCCCTTGATGATTCATTCAGATGAGATAATACAATCTGTTAATATATATATATATATATTTAAAATTAACTAGGCTGTGAGATACGTGCTTTGTGCCATTTTTAAGATGAGATGTAGCGTTGTACTCCATATAATTTATCAATAGTACTGCTACTCTTGTCAGATCGCCAGACAAAAAGGCTTATTTTAATTATGAATATGAGACTTTAATTTATTTTATTTTTTAAATTTATACTTTTCTTCTCAAAATATTCACATTAGTCACCGTCAAGAGGTCCTATCAAGGGGTAGTTCTAATACCTATTAGTGGTTTATCCGCTTAGGAAAAAAAATAATTTGTTGGTTCTTATAGTTTTGCCTAACTTTCAATCCAGTCCTTAATATATTTTTTTCTTTTCAGGGGTCCTTATAGTTTCCTAAATTATAGGTATTAGTCTCTATGCTCATAATATGATAATTAGGACTATTATGGATGTGATTAAGCAATATGTAAGTTGTCAAAAAATGCAAAATTAAAAATTAAAAAAATAAAATGATGGAACAAAATTTATTTATTATCAACTTAATAATAATAATAATAAATTTATTATGCTTATAACCATCTCCCTACCTCTATACTAGGGGTGTGCAAAAACCCAGTGATCCAGTCCAACCCGAAGTGGTCATGTCCGGTCCAATCCAGTCCAAATTAACTATATAATAAAATTAGACTAGACTGGACCAGACTAGTTGGTCAGACTGGACTAGGTTTCGGACCAAGAGATCATATCACCTAGACTGGTCTAGTCCAGTCTAGGTGAATTTTTTATTTTTCAATAATTTGTAATTTAGAAGGTGCCTTTAATTGTTTTTAATGTTTTTAGATATTTTTATGTATTTATGATGAAATCTTAATATTTTAGGACAAGTTTCATATGATTATAGGTATTTTTTATTGTCTTAATTGTATTTATCATGTTGAAATCTTATTTTTCATAAAGAAAAAATTAAAAAAAAAAAAGAAAATTGGACAACTAGACTGCCTGGACCAGTCCACCAGTCTGGTGGACCAAGTCCAGTCCAACCCGACCTCGGGTCATCACTGGACTAAACTAGACCACAGACTATTAAACCCAGTCCGACCAAAAATTCAGACTAGACTTCGGGTTGGGCTCTGGTCTAGTTCGGTCTGTCCATTGTGCAGCCCTACTCTATACAGTTGATTTTAATATTATTAAAATTCATATGACAAAATTAATTCTAGCGCTTGCTTAATGAGAGCCACATTATCAACTTCTGACGTCATTTCCCTTACAAAGTAACAAATTATAAGCATGCGAACTAATACATATAAATGAAAAAACCAGAAGGGCTGAATGAAAAGACAAAAATTATAAGGACTTAATTAAAAATGAGATGAAATTATGGGGATTTTTCTTAAATAAATTTTGTAAACGTCAAATTGTATATAAATATTTGAATTTATTACAGAAGCGCGGTATTCAAATTGGTTCAAATTTTTCTTTTTGGTACAGAAATTGGTTCAATTTGATAATAAAACGATGGACCGACAGGACGAAATCTTAGTTGCTATATACAGACAATTTGTAATGTTTTGGGCCCAAAATTATTGGCTTGGCCCGCTATTACGGAATTTGGATCACCTCTTAGCCCTTATTTGTCCTGTTCGCGTCCTTTCCAATTTTATCCTTACGTTCTTACCCCCCCCCAAAAAAAAAAAACGTTATCCTTATGTGAATGTACTGTTTACACCAACATAAGGATCAGATTGAATGGCAAAAGCCTCTTCTTCAAGCTAGTCCTGATCAACTTCTAAGACACAATTTGGTTTGAATTTGAAGGGTTTGGAGTCTCTAATATGCCTTTTTCTAATATTCTTTAATTTTCTTTATAATATATCAACTTCTCAAACTTTTCTTAATATTCTACATAAAATTAGTGACATGTTGATATCTTATAGTTAAAAAATAGCGCGAGTTAAATTTTTTAAAATAATTTCTGAAGTAAAATACTTCAAAATTGTGCAATTTTGATTTTTAAAAAAATCATAAAAAATTAAAATTGCACTTATTTTTGCTCATAAGATATTAAAATATCATTAATTTTATGTAGAATCTAATAATCAAAAGAAAAATAAAAGACATTTGGAAGGCTGGAGTATTGCAAAGGGTACTAGGGGAAGCAGCTAAAGCACATTATGGGAATCTATCGCTTGAATTTAGGAGGAAACTAAATTAATGGTTGTAACACTACAATTTGAGTAAAATTTTAAGATAACAAAATTATAATTATAGTTATATGTAAGAGGTTTTGCAGTTTACACGAACCTAAATACCCTTTTCCTTGTATAGCATGGGATTGGATTTTGAGAAAACGGGACATGTTGTTTATATCATTCCTCTTGATATTGCATCGTGCTCTCGGCAAGTGTCTTGGAATGGAAAAAGCAACAATTTACTTTTTCAAAATCCAACTATGTTTCGGTGACAATTTTTTTTTTAAAAGTCACATATTAGTATATCATCAGTAAATAAAACTAGTCAATCAATCCATATGTGTTATAAAATTTTTGGGAAGATCTACTAATAATACATTTTTTTTTATAAACCAAAAAACAAAACAAAGCCAACAAAGACCTTAAAATACTAGACTGTATCAACTATGTGTATTGGAATGATGAATAGGGTTTTGAAAAACAGTTTTTTAATTGTGATTTACAATGTGCAAAATAAATATGTAAGGTGAGTTTTATTTTGATTTACGTAAATATGTTCATGATAAGCAGCTCCAAGTACACAACCCTAAAGACTCCTTCCCAAGCCCTTCCAATTAAGGCCAAGCATGAAACCTCTCCCTCTCCTCTGTGCAGTCTCTCTGAGAAACCTTCAATAACTTGGCCTGTAGTAAGCTGTGCGAAGATATATGGTTTGTACTCCCCCTCATTAGATAGATTATCCCTAATGATCAAATTGTGATATTAATCCCCAAGAGTTATTCATCTAAATATACTAAACTGACATTAACAAATGCTCCTGAAGGTCATTTGAGAAATGCATGGTTTCAATACAACAACAACAACAACAACAACAAGTCTTATCCCACTAGGTGGGGTTGGCTACATGAATCACACGATACCATCGTGTTCTGTCAATAACCCAAGAAATGCATGGTTTCAATATTTACACAAACACTAGAGGCCCCTGGCAGTGGGAAGCTTAATCCAACGCAATTGGAGCTCCACTTCCCCAGACACAACATCTTTCAATCTAAGAACCATGTTCTGAACAACTTGACCATCTTTCCACACAATTTGGCTCCTTTCAACAAGACGGTTTTGCCGGTTCGGCGGTATTGTTCTTATGGTAGTTCCATCAGCGAGGCCTTCCACACCCATTTTCACAGCTTCAACAATTGGATTAATGTCGAACTCAGCCTCCCCCATTTTGTCATCAGAGCTAAATGTGTCTCTGTCATACACAAACTGCAATCACAAGAGACAATAATGGAGCATGTTGATTCATTTGATTTCTAGTTTTGGCATATAAATACATGACAAGTAACCTGCAGGTAATATATACTTCATTAACACATGCAAGTATCGTTTTGTTTTATATGGGTTGTCAACTTTTGTCGAATAATGGCAAACAAGGGAGTTGCAAAAGAAAAACAGTTACTGACAAGTTCAACTGGGAGAGGAGGATCTGGAATATATAAAGTCAGTTCTTCGTTCCACTCAGGATTCACATTCTGCTTCACCACTCGAGTCTTCACTTGCTGCATCAGACATTATATGCAGACATCACTTGACTGAACAAGGTTGGTACCCTGTCTCATTTTGATCCTTAACACTATAGAGTCAAATAAATCTCAGCGCTTAATTGAGTTGAAGGTGCTGAGATAACAAAATCAAATTTGAACTACCTGTCTGTCCATTTTGAAGACAACATATGGATCGCTGCTCCTGCGGATGACATCTCTGATAGCAAGATTCACCCCTTTTTGCACGTGAATTTTGAGCAGACCCCACCAGTATACCATTGATAATTGGAGCTCCACTTCCCCACGTTCCACATTGTTCAGTCTAATAAACATGTTTTGAACAACTTTCCCATCTTTCCACACAATTTGGCTCTCCTCAGCCAGACAGTTTCCCCGGTTCGGTTCTATTGTTGTGATGATATCTCCATCCTTAAGGCGTTCCAACCGTCCCATGACAGCATCATGAAATGGATTAATGTCAAACTCAGCTTGCCCCATTTTGTCCTCTGAACTAAATTTGCCCTTGTTATACACAAACTGCAATCTCAAGACAAGTTTGATAGATGATGTTATTGCCAATGCTCCCAGATAGACTGTGACAGCGCCACTAATCAAAGTTCATGTTTTAGTGAATCTATCATCTCAGACATACTAATAACTTGTAAATGTGCACTATATTATCTATGCCCACATCCGTTTATGCTGGTAATGTGGCCTAAATTCACCGTTGATGATCATATACTCGTATTCATTAATAAACCAATGGAACATTTATTTGATTTTGTCCAAGTTATTACAAATCACAAGACAAAGAAGGATGTCATTCCCCAAGTAAGTTTGTGTTAGGTTGTTCAGGTCAAGTGTGAGTGAACCTGAGCCAATATAGAAAGTCCTATACCAAATATAATAGGGCTTAATAATAAGTAATATATAATAAAGTAGAAGGACTCAATTTTGATCACTCCCCCCTATTTTTGGACTTCACTCCTCGTTCCTTACAAGTGATATTAGGGGCCTGACTTTGTACGGGATGTGTGGACTGGTTTTGTCTAGGATTAATGCGTGCCACACCGTTTGAAACCCAAAAAATTAGGCTGTTGACCCTGCTGTTGCCACAACAAGGACTTGTGTTTGTGGCCTCTTCAATATGCGGAAGCTGATGTGCTCACACTTAAACTTTAAGGTGAAGATGTAATATTCTCCACTTTTCATTGCCTATTTGTTGTTCTCTCTGCGGTCTGCTAACTTGGACTAACCAATTAAACTAGTCTGAAGGTTTTCTAGTACAATTAGCTTGTGTAAAAAGCCAACGAAATTGCTCAAAATGCGCATCTCTAAATCTCAAACCCTCAAAGCCTACTTTCACAACTGACTCCTTATGCATTATTTAAGTCTATGATTAAGTCTCATATGGAGTGACTAGAGGATAAATCAAAGAGATACACACACAGTGACTAGAGGATAAATCAAAGAGATACACACACATATCTATATATAAGTTTAAGTCCATCCAACAATTAATTAGTAAGGGAGAAATCGCAAAGCGTATCGTCAAGTCCTCTTAAGCCTGATACAAAAGGATTGCATAAGACCATGACTTACAAGTTGGAGTGGGGGATCTGGAGTTCTCAGATCGAAGATCAACTCTTCATTCCACTCAGGATTCACATTCTTCTTCACCACTCCAGTCTTCCATTTCTGCATCAGACATTATATGCAGACATCACTTGAATTAAATGTACAGCTCCACAATTTTACAAGGTTGCTACTTACCTACCTTATCTTATTTACTAGTAATTCAATCTTAAAGCTAATTTAACGCTACACAATCAAATCTCAGGCTTGAATGTGTTAAGCAAATGAAGATACCGTTAAAGCTAGCTAGTAACGTCAATTTATTTGACCCAGTCTACTGCCATGTTCCATTTCCTTTTTGAATAAAAATTGAATACTCATATTACTTCCAGTACTTAATATAAGAGTTGGTTGACTAATTTGAGTAAATTAAGAAAGTTCGTTAAGTTAGTTATTTGTACTAAATAGGTGTTATTTTTCCTAAAATACCCTTTCTAAATATATGTATTAGCTAAAATTATCATTTGATGGAATCTTTAACATACGCAGCTACTAAAAAGACTAATTTAAAAAACTGAATAAATATAAGAGATAAAGTGGATTAAGGTCCTATATTTAAGATCAAATTGAATGTCAAACTAACTCTTATATTAAAAATAGAAGATAGTCTTAAACTAGACAGAAAACACAACTAGCAAATACATACAATAAGGTCCCGTTTGATACAAAAGCATTGAAAATAAAGAATAGGGATTGAGATTAAGATTAAAAAAATAATCAAAGAATATTTAGTATGAGTAAGTGAGTAACTTCTTATGCAGGTGGAATTGGAGAATACTACCTCCCCATGATATTTCCCAATCCCACGTATATAGATTTGCTCAATCCGAAGTAACAAGTAATTACTCATACTAAATACTCTTTTAACATATTTTTCCAATCTCAATAGTAATTCCTACCTCTCATTTTCAATACTTTGTGCCAAACAGGACCTAAGAACTAGTATAGTACTCCTCCGGTCCTAATTATAAGACCCAATTGACTTATTTGAGGAGATTAAGGAAGTAAGTTAAGTTGGTTATTTATAATAAATAAGTGTTGTCATTCCTAAAATATCCTTGCTAATTAAGTATATTGGCTAAAACTATCATTATTAGAAGGATTATCTTGGAAAAAAATGCATAATAAAAGACAAAATGAATTGGGGTCTTATAATTAGGATCAAATAAAAAGTCAAATAGAGTCTTATAATAAGGACCGGAGGAGTATTATTTTTCACCATTATTGCCCACCTCTATTTCAAAAGAAAAAGTGTGTTCCGATCAAAGATTAAAAAACAAAAATCATCAGCAAACTAATTTCCTTCTCTAGCCGAAATATTAGCCATACAATTAATTTTCTTGGGGAGAATCCTATTAATTGAAGTTTAAAATTACCAAATTCTAGATAAAAAAATTCCTCTAAAAATATGTTGTTATTTGCAAATTTAGTACTGTTAAAACTTATTAAAATATTGTTATCAAATCTGATTTAATATTTAGTAATTTAAGGATTCTTTGGTGAGATTCTCCCATTTTCCTATACATGAAAGAAACCAAAATATAGAAACATTGGCGTTCCCCGTGAGAAGGAGATCCATGCTATTTATAGAAGAGACTTAATATTGTTAATGTTTATGTCCATTCTTAGAGTACTTATTTCAATCAAATTAGAACTTGGGTATTTAATTTAATTCACGATTCACCGTCTAAGGGCCGTTTGAATTTGATTTCTGTTTTTTCAAAAAAAAAAAATGTCTCTATTTTCTTTTTCATAACAAAAAACCTCAGAGCTGTTTTGGGGGGGGGGGACCGGTGATGATCAAGAGGCAGGCGATGAATGACGATGGAAAACATGTTGAAAAATAGAATTTTTTTTATTAATTAAACAAATTATTTGATGGGGAGCTGACTTTGTGGAGGAAATTTTGGAGATGGAGGGTTCCGGAGAGGTCTAAGAGGCTTTTTGATCCAGAGGGCCTAGATGAGGAAATTACGAGAAGCTGGAGCCTCTTTAGAGCTATTGCAGATCAGGAGCTTGCCCAGAAGAACAACTGGATAGTAGGCTTCAGCTGTAAACCAGCAAGGGTTCCCCAGGTTATAGCTGAAATTTTAGGAATTATATATGGTTTATTGGAAGGTGCTCCTCAACCATGTACCAAGAGAGGAGCTTTATTTCGCTGATCATCTTGCGACAATTTCTCATAACATAGAGGGAAACTACTGAATCTTTGGTCACAAGCCATCTGGACATGGAAAGTGATTCTGCAGGCTAACTGTTTCCCGCTGTCGTGTTTATTCTTTTGTTGTTTTTTCTAGGACTTAACTTGGAAAGTGATGATGGAGGCTAACTGTTTCCCTTTGTCGCGTTTCTTCTTTTGTTGTTTTTTAAGGCAGTTTTTTAGGTTGCTTGTTTTGAGTTGTTTACTTTGTTTTCTGATGTACCCTGTTTTCTTAGTTGATTAATGGAAGTATTCAGTTTTCTAGTCCAAAAGAGAGAAAAAACAAAGAAAGAAAGAAAGAAAGAAAAAAACAATTCCTGCAATTCCCAAACCCAGAAGAGGTGATGATGAGGAAAAGAGAATGGAGAATTGAATTACCTGGTGGCCCATTTTGACGACAACGTAAGCATTGCTGCTTCGGCCACTTCTGGTAGCCAGATCATGGCCTCTCTTGACGTGAACTTTGAGGTAACCCGTCAAGCTCCCCATTTCTGTTTCGACAATGAAGGAACAGAGCTAGCCAAGTGTCAGATGGCAGCTTCCCGATTAGATCTCAACCGTTCGCCGGCGACTCTGTTCTTTTCCCTGTCTCACTCTGCTGTTGAAAAGTTTGGCTGATCTTTTAAACTACTCCTCCTCGCTTCTCCGTTCCCGAGGTAAGCCCCTCTTAAGTGGCTTTATCAGAGTTTTACTTCTGTGCTTAGTTCAGCTTTTGTAGCAGCAGTAATGTTTGAAAAGTCAATAGCAAAAATTCTGTATATTAATATAACATATTTTTTAAGAAAAATTATAAGAAAAAATCTCAAAAAAATATTTTAAAATTTTAAAATTTTAAATCAGTAATAACTTAGTTGACTAATTTAAAGAGATAAAAAAAATTAGTTAAGTTAGTTATTTGTAATGAATATGTGTTGTTTTTCTTAAAATACTCTTTCTAATCATGTATATTAACTAAAACTATAATTTAATAGAATTTTTAACATGTACAACTACTACAAGAATCATTTTGAAAAAATAAATAAATATGAAAAACAAAATGAATTGGAGTCTTATATTTAGAACTAAATTAAAAGTCAAACTAACTCTTATATTAAAAAATAAAGATAGTATTTCTTTTTTTTGGGGGAAAACAACAATTTTCCATACATTCCATTCATAACTTTGTGCAAATTTTTCATTGTTTCTTTTTTTTTTTTCCATGTTTTTATTAGGATGTCTATGTTTAGGACAAAAAATCGATGCAATCTTTTAAAGTAAAATAACAACAAAAAAAACAACCTTAAAAATAAGAAATTTCAAGATTATAAATGATATGGAGGGAGGGAAAGTTTGAACTGAAACTATGAAAATGTGGAAGAAAAAAAATAACCAATATGCTATTGTGGCAGTTTAAAAAAAAAAAGAAAAGAAGAAGACTAGATTTGGTCTAAAAAAACAATATTGCAGTATAAATTAACAAGTTTGGAATACAGAATGATATTCTTTTGTCATGTAAAAGCATTTATCAATTTGGGAAAATAACTAAATTTGATGTGAAAATAACAAAACTGCAACCTAAATTAATAAGTTTGAAATATAGAATTCCATCATTTTCTAATAATCACACAAAGGTATATTGATCATTTTTTCACATTTTTATAATTCCAATTCAGACTTTCCCTTATTTCCAATCATTTGGAAGTGTTAATTGAATTTTTTAAAATTTCCTATCTTCAAGGTTCTTTTTTCATCATTTTCTCATTTTTCAATTCTTGAAAAAATACTAATTGAAAAAATGGCAAAAAATATTAAAAATTAAAAAATTACATATAAGGACTGGTTCGCAAAATTATTGTTATTTGCTTTTGTCAAAACCAACACTGATGATGTAACGAGTCTTTATTTGCAATCTTTCTATTTTTAAAGGTTTTTTTTAACGATTTTCTCATACTAATTTTGTGTATTTTTATTTTATATAACTTCTATTTAAGGATTAAAATAAATTTTAAATCTTTAAATTATATTTAAGGATGTGATTAGTTCCTAGGGTTTAAATATTCTGATGTAATAAAAAAACTTTTTATTACTGTAAATAATTAAATTTTGAAAGCTGGTTTATTTTGAACTAAAATATACTACTTTCAGTTCTTAATATAAGAATTTGTTTGACTTTTAATTTGATTCTAAATATAAGACATCAATTTCTTTTGTCTTTCATATTTATCTATTTTTTTAAAATAGTCTTTATAGTAGTTGCACATGTTAAAGGTTTTAACAAATGATAATTCTAATTAATAACTAATTTAATTATTTTTTAATATTTTTAAATTAATAAATTAAGTTTTATATTAAGCATCGTATGTAGTAGAAAATCGTATTCAGTTTTATGAGTGTGTGTGTGTGTTTTTTTTTTTTTTTTGCGCTTTTCACTAAATAAGCTTTGTTCAACCTTTTTTCTTTTTGGTCAGAAAATTTTACAGAATAACAATTTAAAAAAAAGGAAGAATTTTATTAAACTATAGAGAATTAATGTCCAACAATTCCCATAAAATTTCAAAATTTCACTACCAAAATAAAATTAAAATTGACTAAAGTATATATTTGGTCCTTTAATTTTGTATAAGGTTTTAATTTGGTTTCTTAATTTTAAAAATCATATATTTAGTTTTTAACCCTAAAATCATTAGATTTCAATGATGATTTTTTGTAACCGTCATTAATGTTTTAAAAATTAAAAAATTAAACTTAATATTTTAACATTTGAGAATATTTTATCAACATTTAAGATCTTAATGTCATTATTTTTTTAAAAAAAATTTTATGTTAAAGGACTAAAAGTATACTTCTTTAAAGTTAATGAACTAAATTAAAACCTTATACAAAGTTAAAAGATCAAATATATACTTTAATCATTAAAATTTTAGGGTGAAAAGACAATAATATCCTTACTTTTTTTATAAAAAAAAATAGTTGTCATCAAATTTGAATTATAAATCGCCGAAATTTTTGTTCTAAATTACTAAATTTTACTTGTTTATTTACACATAAATACTTGTACTTAAGGTTGTCAATTCCCTTTATTTCTTGTGAATCACTGAATTTGGATTGTGAATTGCCAAATTTTAGCCGTAAATTGTCAAAGTTTATTTATTTATTCACACTTAGACACTTCACTTAATCATTTATATTTGAACACTTACATTTATTTTATTACATATATTTTTTTTGGCATTACGTGATTAAGTAGATTGATTGTTTTTTTTTTTGGTAAACAGGTTATGGGTTCAAGCCCCCTATTAGCCACCTTATTTGTGAAAAATCTTTTGGTGACCAAAGCTCCAACAACTAGTCGCCAGTAGTGGAGGTCAAAGCTTCTGCTAGTTAGTCATCGAAGTTTTAGTAACGATTAATCTTTTTAAAAAAAATAAAAAGTAAAGATATTATTATCTTTTCATTCTAAAATTTTAAGTTTATTTTGATCCAAAATAACTATTGGAGTTCTCTACAATGGGAATGAAATTCTCCCTTGAGAAAATAGCATCTAACATATCCTCTATATTTTGAATTATTTTTTATTGGATGGTTATTGGCGATAATCAATTATTATTATTTACTATATTGTTATTATTAATTGTTTTTGTCATATGTATATGGGAGAATGACCAAAAAAATGCAAAAATTTCAAAATCCCAAATCAAATATTTTCACAAAAATATGTTATTTGTAAATCAATTGAGTATTATAATAATTCCTGATATGGGATTTTGTAATTTTTATGGTCTTTATTTATCATTCTTCCTATTCATACACACACATATGTGTGTGTATTAGAATTTGATAGTTTTCCTGTGTGTTATTAGAAAGCTTTAATGCTTTAATCCAACACGTTTTATAACCAAAAGGTGCAAGATCAAACCCCACCTTAACTTGAGCTTGTAATGATACTGCCACTGATTTAGTACTGAAGGTAATATTATATTTTAACGTTTTAAGCGGGGAAAAAAAAATCCTAACCATGATCATCTTTGTTTTAATGTAATGAATCAACTTAGGGTTAGATGAAAACCCTTGATAGCAGGTAAAAATAGGCATGCTAAAGCTATGGGGCTTAGATATTCAACATGTTAATCTATGTTCTTTATATTATTTTGGACATACCACATGCTCCTTCTCTAGTTTGCCTTTTTTTTTTGGGGGGGGGAAATTTCATTCAAGGACCACTGAAGGCAATTAATTTCCAAGAGCTCTCAAAACAATCTGAAATGTCACCACAGGACTATGGGGGCAAATTGAAATTAACTTCAAAATCAAAAAGATAGTGTTGGCCCTCAAACTATGACTCTTAAATTTGAAGTCTTTTCTCTCTCACTTTAACTCTCGATATTTGAAGCCCCTCTCGCTCATTCTTTAAAAAATCCAGTTCGTGCATTGAAGGAGATCGTTCGCCTCGCCGTCACCATTGTTGTGGTGAGGAGAGATTTTCCGTCGTCATTGTTCTGGTGAGGAGAGCCTTTGTCGTTGCCCTTGCTCTAGCAACGAGAGCCTCTATCGCCACCCCTACAAGTGTTGGACAAGAGCCTTTGCTGTCGCCATGGTCTCTCTCGTTGTGTGTACATAATCTCTTTCATTGCCTTTCAATTCTAGAATTTTTTCTCTGTTTCTTGTATTGTAGATTTTATGGGTCTGGTTTGGATTGTCGTGGAGTTCTGAACCAATAAGGAATTTTTTGGCTACTAATATTTCAGATAAAATTATTCAATGGGTTCAGCTCCAATTGACATCATTGAGTGTTGATAGTCTCCTTCATTTGTGCACTTTTTTAGTTCATATCTTGTGTAGGCTCAATTTATTTATATTCACAAGTGTATGTCCGAATTTCATAATGTAAGTTTATTTCTTCAAAGAAGCACATATTTGATGTTGATTTTATGATTAGTGTTATTCATTTTCTAGTAAGTTCATGTCTTCTTGATAATATGTTAAATGCATTGAAATACATTGTTCTTTAACAAGTTAGGATATTTACAACAACAATTAGTGTATTTACAAGTAAAGTGGACAAACATCTAAACCAAGTACTCCCACAATAGTTGGGATACAATTTGGGTGAATATGAATATATTTTTGCACCAATTCTATTTGTAAGCATTGGTTTTGCTGTGTTTGGACCAAGCACACTAAAATTTTATGTATTGGATTCATTACGTGGTGGGGAGGATGCAACTAAGCATGAGAAAAAGAAGAAAAAGGTTGATTCAGCATACCAAGGGCAGTAAATGATGGCTTAATTTTGGGTTAGTTCAATTTTATTGTTCTTCTACTTTTCTGGACGACCATAATATCTCTTGCGTGATAGTCATTTTCTATTGCGCATGAGTTCATTCATTATTTTGAGTTTTCATTGATGCATCTGTGTCAATCTATTGACGGTATTTATTGTTGTGCCTCAGGAATAATACACTTCACTAAAATCTGAGTTGTAGTAGCTCGTTACTCATAAAAGAAATATGCTTGTGAAACTACTTCAACAGATAAAGACGACAAAAAACAAAGCAATGACATAACAATTGTTATATTTTTATTTTAGATATAATTTAAGCTATTTTAGAACTTGTTAAAATTTGTGTATGGAGAATTTGCACAGTTTCTGTTTTAGGGAATATATTATGAGTAGGTTACATGTCAATTAATTACAATTTGTTGTCTTTCCCCACTAACTTGCAAGTATGTGATGTACTATTGACAACTTGAATTAGAAAATTTGCAATAAGGATGCATTGATTAACAATTTGATGTCATGGGTATTTGGTTGTCATATTGGCAATTAGAATTAAGGAAATTTGCAATAAAGATACGTTGATTCACAAAAGAAACTTGTCCATTTACAAATAGAATAATATAACTAAAAAAGTCATACATGATTATTCACAAGTCTAAGGAGCACTAATCACAAGTAGAATTAAGAAATTTGTAATACAAATACACATATTAACAACAATAACTCGTCCATTTGCAAGTGATCTAACTGAATTCTAGAAGTTGGACATGATAATTCATGTTTGGGAGGGACTATTTGCAACTGGAGTTGGGCAATTTGCAAGAAGGTAACGTATATTAATAGCAAGAATTTGTCCATTTACAAGTGAGCCAGCTGAATTCAAGAAGTTGAACATGATTATTCACAAGTCTGGGAGGAATCATTTGCAATTGAAATTAGGAAATTTGCAAAGAGGATATGTATATTAATAACAATAATACATCCATTTGCAAGTGAGCTAGTTCAATTGAAAAGGTTTATCACAAGTCTGGAAGTGAGTGTTCACAAGTGAAATTAGAAAATTTGCAACATGGATACGCTTGTTAACGATAGAAATACATCTTTTTGCAAGTAGATTTATTTCATTCAAAAAGTTGAACACATCAATTCACGAGTCTGGGAGTAACTCTTCACAAGTGGAATTAGAAACTTTACAATAAGGATACATTAACAATAGAAATATGTCCATTTGCAAGTTGATTAATTTGTTCATACATTTATATAGTTGCTAGTTAGTTTCAATTCAGTACTTAGGGCAGTTTACCTCCAAGTACCATCACGAAATTCTCCATCTATTCATAGCACTACACAAAATAGATTTCAACTCACGGGTTGTCATAGCCACTTCACAAACCATTCCAAAAATATATACTGAGGTTCATATATACACAAAAGTAGCTGTATATTAAAACAAAAACAAACTATATTCAGCAATAAAATAGTGTAGAGTTTGAGTTCCTACAAGTTTTTCTAGTTTAACCAGCTTCATATCTATACAAAAGGCTCTCGTCCAACACTTGCAGGGGCGGTGATGGAGGCTCTTGTTGCTAGAGCAGGGGCGACGATGAAGGCTCTCCTCACTAGAACAATGATGACGGCAAATCTTTCCTTACCACAATAGTAGCAATGGCTAGGCGAACAATCTCCTTCAATGCATGAACTGGATTTTTTAGAAAATGAGCAAAAAGGCTTCAAATATCAGGAAGTTGAGAGTGAGAGAGAAAAGACTTCAAATTTCAGAGTCATCGTTTGAGGGGCAACACTGTCTTTTTGGTTTTGAAGTTAATTTCAATTTGCCCCCATAGTCCTGTGGTGGCATTTCAGATTGTTTTGGGGTCTCTTGAAAATTAATTGCCTTCAGCGATCTTTGAATGAAATTTTCCTTTCTTTGTTTTTTTTTTTAAGTCTAATGTTTGTTTCAACTTCTTTTAAGTACTTTTATGCAAGTTTAGCTCATATATTTATTCCATACACTATAAAATTCCATTTTAAAAACTAATTTAAACACATTCGGAATTAAATAAATGTTACTCACCTTGTTTTAAAAAAAATTATTTACTATAGCGAATAAGATCAGGGGGAAAAACATTCTAAATCATCATCATAAAACTTGAAAACCTGTTCCAATGCATTCCATCAATACAAACAGCAGACTGCTAGTCTCTTCAATCTTCAGCCATAGTAATTACAGCCATACTTTTTCAGGACAAATCACTACTTAAACACATTGAGCATCCGACCATGTTCCAACTACTAGAATGCGAAAAGGGGGAATTAAAAGAGAAAAAGTAGTAAAGAAAAGAAAGCACTCTGAGTATTTACACCACAAGAAGCAGAAAACCAGGCTAGAGACTGTTGGAAGGACGAATGTGAATCCAATGCAATTGGAGCTCCAATTCCCCAGACTCCACATTTTTCAGCCTAAGAACCAAGTCTTGAACTAGTTGGCCATCTTTCCACACAATTTGGCTCTCTTCAGCCAGACAGTTCTCCCTGTTCGGTTTTATTCTTTTAAGGATAGCTCCATTATGCTGGAGGCCACCTGCGGACCGCTGACTCATCACAACAGTTTCAACAAATGGATTAATGTCCAACTCAGCCTCCCCCAGCTTGTCATCAAAACTCACGTCTGTGTCATGCACAAACTGCATTCACAACACAATATATGGAGGATATGTTGAATTTGGTTTTGAGATTTTGTCATATAATAAATCTGACAAACCCGATAAGGAAAGCAAAACATATAAAATCCAACTCAGTCGTCCCTTCAAAACTCTTAAATCAGACTAACCAAGGACTGATTTATTGGTATGACTGATTTAATACTATTTTAATGAAATATTGATGACTCATTTCTCAAAGTGTCCTTGTCTTTTCACTCTTAAATTAATAACTTTTTCATCGTCTCTCTCTCCAATAAACCATATCAATCAAAGTCATGATTTTGGGAAATTGTAAAAAAATTTTGACATTTAAACTAACTTTCTTAATTTTAAGAAATCAGTTCATAAGAGCTCAAACTTTCCAGCTCTTGTTCAACTGTAGTAAACTACAGAGTTGCAGAGGAACAGTTTCTTACAAGTTGGACTGGGAGAGGAGGATCTGAAATGCACAAAGTTAAATCTTCATTCCACTCAGGATTGAGACTCCTCTTCACCACTCGAGTCTTCAATTTCTGCATCAGACATTATAAGCAGACATCACTTTAAGTTAGTATGGCAAGGAAATCTTGGGAGGTTGTTACCTCATCTCATTTATAGTTCAATCTTAAGGCTAACTTAACACTATACAATAATCAAATCCAAGAGCTTAAATGTCCTAACCAGATGGACTTTTTTTCTGCTGAAAAGTTAAAGCAGATGAACATACATGCACAAGAACAATTAGTATCCTTGTCAACTGATAATAGCATAACCAAGATAAAGCCATACCCGGAAGGAGGTAGTCACTAAACTTCCATTAAGAGGATTAAAAAAGCACTAAGATAACAGAATCAAAATTGAATTAACCTGCTGGCCCATTTGGAAAACAACACAAGGATCACTGCTTCTGCTGAAGGTATCTCTGATAGCAAGATTTATGCCTCTTTGGACGCAAATTCTGAGCAGACCCAACATGTTCTCCATTGATAATTGGAGCTCCACTTCCCCAGATTCCACATTCTTCAGTCTAAGAAACATGTTTTGGACAACTTTGCCATCTTTCCACACAATTTGGCTCTCCTGAGCCAGACAGTTTTGCCGGTTGGGTTCTACTGTTGTGATGATTGTTCCATCCTGGAGGCCTTCTAATTCCAACCGTTTCTTCGCAGCTTCAAGAAAGGGACTAACTTCAAACTCAGCCTTCCCCATTTTGTCATCAAAAAATTTGTCCTTGTCATACACAAACTGCAAGCAATCGCAAGACAATGAATGATGTTATTGCCAAGTTCGTGTCTCAGTGAATCTCATCTTCTGAATCACTAACTTCAGCAAATGTTCATATGTTGACTCGTGTATTATATATGCAGGTAAAGATTTTCATTGTAAATAAGCAATGCAAAGCATTGATTGTGAAAACCCCACATCTGTTTCTGATTGTAATGGCCTAGATTCAATGTACTCATTAATAAAACAAGACAATATTTGTTTGATTTTATTCAAGTTCCGACAAATCAAAAGCAGTGAAGGATCTAACCATTTAAACTAACCTGAGAAGTTTCCTGGTACAGTAGATCTCAAAACCTGAAACACCCCATTGACCTGGGCATTTCTCATCAACATTTTCTTATGCTCATATTGGCCTAATAAATACAACGTGTTGATGTTCGGACATCTGTTCATTCATTAATAGATCCTGGGAATTCATTACTGATTAATTTGATTGAAGTTAATTAGATTCTGAATACAAGTTTCATTTTTGTAAAGAGTTACACAAGATGGCGACTTACAAGGTGGACTGGAAGATGTGGATCTGAAATGGATAAAGCCAGGTCTTCATCCCACTCAGGATTGATATTCTTCTCCACCACACGAGTCTGCAATTTCTGTAGCAGACAAGAAACAAAATTCAACAACGTTCCCAACTAATTATCTTATTTAATTCAATCTTAAGGATTCTTCACTGAACAACAAAGAAAAAAAGTGTACAGATTTCAATTAAATCTTAAACGCCAATATGACGTGACGTGATGCCCATATGGTCATGGTAGTGTACTTATTAGTATGAGGCCAGTGGAGGTGACATGCATCTCTTCATGAGTAATCACTTGAGCGGGAGATGTTACGTTGGTATGTCGTAAATCCCAACTACATTTAATATTATGGGAATTAATTTAAATTATTTATAATGGAAAGGGTTAAATTTTTTATTGATTTTAAATTTTTTAAATTCAAATCATGCTAGTTCTAGTAATCAATTTTTTTGGGCCGAGAGTAATTTGAAAGATTTGGCTTCTATCCATTTCTTCTCCTCTTCACTTTCTTTTTTACTTCCCATCACAAGTTTTCAACCCTTGAATCAAAATTTGAATGGCTAGGATTTAACATTTTATAAAATATTTTTCACTTTTTTCTTAATCATCATTTTGGACTAATTAAGTTTTCATAATTTAAATTTGATTCAAAAGCATGATACTACCTCCCTCATTTCCTTAATATAAAACTTAGTTAACTAATTTAAATATGTTGAGTAAATTTGTTAAATTAGTTATTTATAATAAATAAATATTATCCTCCCATTACTAATTATGTGTATTAGTTAAAAATAAAATTACCATGAAACATTTAATATATATATTTACCATAAAAATTATTTTTAAAAAATAAATAAATATGAAATACAAAATATTCTGACATGTCACGATTAGAATCAATAAAATAATGCATGTGAAGATGACGTCGAGTTAAAGCGAGCAATGAGGTCGAAAAAAGAAAAGCAGAGAGAGAGAGAGAGAGAGAGTTAACGCGAGCAACGTCAGCAATAATAAAATATATCTCATTTGTTGGAAATATCTATTTGTCGGATTCTGTGGTCATGTTTCATTTGCTGCCGATTCTTGTGTGATCCCTGTTTTCCAGAGAATTCTTCTTCCTACCTACCCGCTGCAAGTGGGTCATGGAAGCATTTTTGCTCAATTTTTCTCCAGTAATTAAAGTTTTTGTTTTTTTCCGTCTCTTCCTTTTCTATAGTCAAACATGTTAACTCTTGCAAGCAGTTCTAACAGCAAAAGTAGCTGGAATTGTTCAATCTATGAATACCGCCGCCGATATACTTTGGTCGACCAAAGAAGCTAATTAAAGAGACGAGCATGAAGAGATAAGTAATGAAGTGGCAGAATAAAGCCATGAGGATTGAGATGAGAGAGAGGCGAAAATAAGAGGGAAACAGAACTAACAAAGGCAATAAGCTAAAGAAGCCAGTGAGATAATAAGCTTGAACCACAGAAACACAGGAAAAGAATTAGGGCATGAAAACAAAGCAATCAGAAATTAAAGAGTACCTGATTGGCCATTTTGATGAGAACGTAAGGATCGCTGCTTGCGGCATCTCTGATAGCCAGATTCAGGCCTCGCTTGACGCGAACTATGAGCCGATCCATCAGCTTCGCCACTGGGAACGCAGAGGCGAGCAATAGAGCCCAGAGGAAGGTTTATTCCTGGTGCTCAGGAAAGCTAAGTTCCATGGGAGCTTTTAAGCTTCAACCCGCTTCTCCTGTTGCCTCTCCTACTGTATGCTGGTCTTTGAGTAGTACACAAAAGTCTGTTTTCTGTTCTTTCACACCAGCTTTTGAAAAGTCATACACTCCTTCACTGCTAAATATAAAATTATTTTGTAATGTAAACAGAACTCATTTTTTTAATATAATTTATATTACTATATTTAGAACGGAGAAATATTAAATATTAATATAAAATATAGAAAATTAGGGTGAGGGAATTGACAGGTAAAGACCTTGTATGCAGGGAATTAATGTCAAATGAAGAAATATGCACAACCAATTGAAGTACACCTTCCCAGAACTTTGCTCTGGTTAAGTTACAAATGATTTCATGTGTTAAAAATGAGTTAAAATTAGTTTAAAATAATAAATATATTAAAAATACCATTTTAATATAGAGATAATGAGTACTGAGTAAAAATGTACGGGCAGGTACTAAAACTAACACGTCATTAAGCTGCCAAGGGATTTGCTAATTGAAGTGTGTCATTTTTTTTATACTAAGAAAAGTTTAAATAAGTTGGGTTTCAAAAGCTCATCAAAATTAAGATATATTTTCAGGTTTAAATTAAGATATATTTTCAGTTTAGCTTATCCATAAATAATGTTTTTACATTAACAGCGGGATTCAAACTCATGATATTGTGAGTTTTAAATCGATTCCTTACCAACTATTACCTCTGGTCCTTAATATAAGAACTATTTTGACATTTAATTTGATTATAAATATAAAACCATAATTCACTTTGTCTCTCATATTTAATTTTACCATAAATATAAGACCTTGACTCGCTTTATCTCTCATATTTATTTATTTTTTTTAAAGTAGTTCTTGTAGTAATTGTGCATGATAAAAGTTCCGTCAAATAGTAATTTTAACTAATACATATGATTAATAAAGGTATTTTAAAAAAGATAAAAATATATTTATTACAAATAACTAGTTTAACAAATTTTTTTAATTAACTTAAATTAGTTATCCCTTTTCATATTAAGTACCGGGGTAGCATATCAACTCTTGTTGGCTGAAGTCATAATTTCAGCCCAATTTTTTGTTTTCAATTAAGCCTTGTTTCTGGTCCAATATCAAGAGAGAAGGAATCCTCGATAAGCCACACAGGGGGTTCACGTAGCCATGCATATTTTGATATTATTATCTATTTAACTTTATTTTTATTCCTTCCATATTTTTTAACTATTTTAATATTTTTCCTGTAACAGCTAAGATTATAACTTAATTTCTAGTGCATCCTGCATTTAAAAATATTTTTCTAGTGACACTCACTAACTTAAAAAAGTATCTAGATATCCTAAAATTTAACTAATTTGAGATAGTGCGTATTGCGGGAAAAAAATATTTGAGTGCTAAAATTAACTCAAATAAAAATAAAAATAAATTAAAAATTAAAAGAAAAAAAAGAAGGGAAGGAAGCATCTCATCCCCAAACAGCAGCGTTAGAGAAATAAGCATTCCCCGCTCGTTGAATGTGGATTCAGGGTCATGTACTCATATATATTTTGATATTATTATCTATTTAACTTTATTTTTGCTAATAAGAATTGATCCAATCAGTAAACAATCGGCTCATCACCCGCAAGATCATGAGTTCGAATCTCACTATCAATATAAGAACCTTGTTGATGAGTGATCTATATGCTATCTGAGTCTAAAAGTATACCCTGATATTTGTACTCAACTCACCAAAAACTTTTATGTATAAAAAAAATCATATTTTTATTCCTTCAATATTTTTTTGACTATTTTAATAGAAATTAGATACCAGGAAAATAAGTGTAACATCACACAAAAGAAAAGGATAAGAAGAGAATGCTCTCAATTTTCTTTTTAAATTTTAATTGCCAACAACCCCTCATTCTTTCTAAGGTACGCGTGACTTTTTGAGTTTTGACCGGGGATAAAACACCTCCACAAGATCCGCTCTCAACAACCATCAGGTCGCCACACAGTGGAAAGCTTCCACCGTACTAATTCCATTGTTCCCAAAATTTTTATAAAACACTGACATTTGAAGAAATATTTTAAATTATTTTATTAAAAATATAAAATATTAGAATTGATATATGTGCGGAATTAATGAGTAATAAGCACTTACTTACTTTATAAAATATATAGATGTATTATTAATAAGTAATAAGTATTATTGTAGTATTTAACTATTTACTAGGGGTAATTAAAATTATATGTGCGGAATTATTAACTTTTTTTTTTGGTAAACAGGAATTATTAACTATTTCTTAGTGCGTTACAAAAATATAACGTACGAGATGTCAAAATTTGTAATGCTTTGGGTCCAAAATATGGGCTTGGCCCGCAATTACAGAATTTGGATCACCTCTTATCCCTTATTATCATCTAAGGACGACCATAATTATGGAAACTGGGTAGAAAGGGAAGAGGAGGTGAAGGAGCTGATTATTTCCTCTTTTAAAAAGTTGTTCCAATCTGAAGCAAATTCCCCTGGCTCGCTCAAGTCTGTTAGCAATTTCCCTAAGCTTTCACAGTCACAGTTAAATTCTTTGGGGACTGTACCTTCTAATGAAGAAATTCGTAGGGCCCTTTTTGCTATGGGACCTTACAAAGCACCCGGTGTGGATGATTTCCCTCCTGTTTTTTACCAAGCCAATTGGAATACGGTGGGACCAAGTTTTTGTAGTTTTGTGAAAGGAGCTTTTGAAGGAAGCACTTCTTTGGCAGAGGCTAATAAGACTTTCATCTCCCTCATCCCAAAAAGAAAACATCCCCAAAGGGTAGAGCACTTTAGACCGATTTCTCTATGCTCTGTTCACTACAAGTGCATCACTAAAGTGCTTACCCATCGGCTGAAGAATATTATGAAGGAGATTATATCGCCCTTCCAATCCGGATTTATCTCTGGGAGACACATACAAGACAATATCATAGTGGGGCAAGAGTTATTGCATACAATGAAGAAAGCTAGGGGTAAGCGTGGCTTCATGGCCTTGAAAATAGACTTACAAAAGGCTTATGATAGAATTGATTGGGCCTTTTTAAAGCAGGTGCTGTGTGATGTGGGTATGGATGACAAATTTATCAACATTATTATGAACTGTGTAACCAGTTCCTCTTTGAATGTGTTGTGGAATGGATCTGCTACTGAATTCTTTAATCCTACAAGAGGTCTCCGACAAGGCGATCCCATCTCCCCCCTTTTATTTGTAATGTGTATGGACAGATTATCTCACATAATTTGTGATGCAGTGAATAACAGCAGGTGGAAGCCGATTCAAGTTAGCAAAAATGGTCCGCTTATATCGCACTTGATGTTTGCTGATGATATACTACTGTTTGGTGAAGCCAGTGAGGAGCAAGCTAAAACTATGATGGATTGTCTTGATAAATTCTGTCTGGCCTCTGGTGAAAAGATTAACAAACAGAAATCTTCAATTTTTTTTCTCTCCTAAAGTTAATGCTAGTCTGAGAGGAAAAATCAAGACCCTAACCGGGATGAAGGTCACTGATGAAATTGGTAAATATCTTGGTTTTCCTCTTTCGAGGAAAAGAAAACCGACAGAAACATTTGAATATATTGTAGACCGAGTGAAAGATAAGCTAGCAGCATGGAAGGCCAACAGTTTATCCATGGCTGGGAGGATCACTTTAGCAAAATCGGTACTCAGTACTGTGCCCCTTTATCCAATGCAAGTAGCAAAGCTGCCAATGAGACTATGTCAAGAGGTTGAAAAAATCCAGAGATTTTATTTGGGGAAAGGTGACTAATAGCAAAGGATTTCACCCTGTGGGTTGGGAAAAGATTGTTATGCCCAAACAGAACGGGGGACTTGGCTTTAAAAAGCTAAGTTCCATCAATCGGGCCTTTGGAGCTAAATTGGCCTGGAACTTAGTTGTCGGAGTTGAAGGTTTATGGGCAGAATGTAAGACAGATTCACAATACAAATAAATAAAATAATAAAGAGATGTGAATCTTCTCATAAAATAATACAGCGGAAGAATCTTTGTGTACCTCTTGCCATTTGTCTTATCTTGAATTATCTCGGGATCTGAGATAAAGGAATAGACCTCTTGCCATTTGTCTTATCTTGAATTATCTCGGGATCTGAGATAAAGGAATAGAGCTGCAAAAGAGAACAACAGTTAGAAGAAAAGAGTTGTTCAGGTCTCTTCTGACTGGAATAGGGCACAGTGATGGCAACTGGATTAGCCGTCACCAGTCAGGGAACCTCAAGGGAGCAGATAGGTATTTCACTCGCTCTCAGAATATTCAGCCGTCAACTCAATTGTTGTGTATCTCACCATCAGAGAGTTATCAACACATATATAGACTGAAAAGCTTAACCCTACTGGGCTTGGGCCTTGTTTGACTGAAAGGGCCACACTCAGAGTATTTTATTAATTTCCTAATATATATCTAAATAATAATTATAATAAAATATCTAACATTCTCCCACTTGGCCCTTATACGTATGTCAATTGCCATGCCTCAGTAAGCTAAGGCTATACTGCAAGAATCATGGCGACAAGTCCCCTCAAGTCGGGTATTATCTTCCATGCATCACAGGCAGCATCCTTACTTAATGGGTATACCTTTATGAACAAACTCAATTTTGTTCGGTTCCTACTTTATGTTTATCAACCTCAAAAACACAAATGTATATACAATCATAACCAGAGATGACAAACCATAAATTTCATTGCTCATACCTCAACTAATCAATTGGAGGACGAAGTCCCATGTGAGGTACGTGTGAAACAAAGTCATTCGGTTTCAACCCTTTAGTCAAAGGATCAGCTAGCATTTCCTTTGTACCGATGTATTCAACCGAAATTTGGCCATCCATAACCCTTTCTTTCAAGCATAGGAATTTCAGTTCGACGAACTTACTTCGACTCTTATTCCTCTTGTTGTTGGCTATGGCCACTGCAGCGGTGTTATCACAGTACATTCTGATCGGCCTAGAGATCGAATCAACAATCTTAAGCCCAGCAATGAAATTCTTTATCCAGATTGCTTGTGAACTTGCCTCAAAACACGCAATGTACTCAGCATCAC